AGGGACAGACCACCATGGAGAAAATCTATCTGGCCGCTAAGAGTCAACACTGACTTGATGGCACATAATCAATCAATCAATCAATCAATCAATCAATCAATCAATCAATGCTAAGACACAGCTCCTTTGAGAAGCCTATGATGCTGGGAAAGGTGGAAGGAAGGAGAAGAAGAGGACAACCAGCAGCACAGTGCAGTGGGGATGGGGACACTGTTGGAAGAGCTGAAGGACCAGTTGGAGACAGATCATCCTGGAGAAGATCTATCTATATGGACAGAAAGAGCCAACACCGACTTGTCACATAAGGCTCAAATGACCAGGCTCAAATTATCATATTTTGAACATGTTATGGGAAGACCCAGCTCTCTTGGGAAGTCCATAATTCTGGGAAAGGTGGAAAGAAAGAGAAGAAGGGGATGACCAGCAGCAAGGTGGATGGACTCAGTTACAGCCATGATGGGTGCACCATTGGAAAAACTGAAGGAGCAGGTGGGAACAGATAGCCTTGGAGAAAAACTAGATGGTTGCTTAGAGTTGACGTTGACTTGATGGTCCTTGTACTCGACAAGCAAAGATGGAGAAGATCTATTCAGTCAGCAAAAAACAAGACCTGGTGCCATGATTCAGATCATGAACTTCTTCTTGCACAGTTACAACATAAACTAAAGAAAGCAAATAAAATCATCAGACCAGCAAGATACAACCACAGCAATATTTCATATGATTACACTGTGAAGGCAAGGAATAGATGTAACGGATTAGGTTTGGTCAACTGAGTGCCTTTAGAATGCTGAATACAAACATTCATTAAACAAAACATGAAAAAAGGGATGTTTACTTCTTGGGAGAAAGACTGTAACAGTTATAGACAAAATATTAAAGTGCAGACACATCACACTGACAAAAAAGATATGTAGTGTGAAAAAACATGGTTTTCCCAATTGTAACATACAGCCAATTATCAAGAAAGCTGAATGAAGAAAAATGGAGGTCTGTGAATTATGGTGTCGGGAGAGAATAATTGAGTATATTCTGCACCGCTTGAAGAACAAATCGTTCAACCCTAAATGAACCAAAATGAGAGAGCTCACTGGAAGCACTTATAATTAAGCTGAAGCTTAAATATTTTAGACACAAAATGGACAGGCAAGAGCGGAGAAGACCCTGCCCGCTTAAGAAAATCAAAGGCATTGGAAGAAGAGGCTGAGAGAAGACAAGGCGGCCAGATACCACCACAGATGGCGCAAGCAGGAGTTTCCAAGAATCCTAAGGAGCCATTGGCTGAAACGATGCCCCATGAACCACCCCACAAGGACAACTAGACGAGACCCTATGGATATGGCAGCAGAGAGAGACAGAACTCCTTAACTCTTTCCTCCCACTGACTTGCAGCCCAGAACTGGAAGGGTTCCCTGAGGCAGGGTTCCTCAACCTTGGCAGCTTGAAGATGGGTGGACTTCCACGCCCAGGATTCCCCAGTCAGCATGCTTTACCACAGGCGGGCCTCCACTCCCAGGATTCCCTAGCCAGCCATGCTGGCTGGAGAATTCTGGGAGTTGAAGTCCATACATTTGAAAGTTGCTCAGATTGAGAAACACTGTCTCAAGTAAGAAAGAGGAAGACCTTACTGCTACAAAATAATAATACATTTAAATAAATAAATAATACAAGAGGGGGTCCCTTTCTTCCATCGGGGCTTTGGAACTAATCACTCTATC